TGTTTTTATATTTTTGGTGGTTGACATAGCTATTGACAATATATGGCATTATGCTTATGCATTCTGTTTAGATTCCCTTTGCTAGTCACTTTGTCTTTTTTCCCTTCCTTTTGTTCTTCTTCTTAACCATTTCACAAGGGTCAACTTTTTCTTTTTTCTAATTTAATGGGGGTCAACCTTGAATAATCATAATTTTTATATTTGTTCATTTTCTAACATACGTCTATTATGATTTGGGTTCACATTAGAAAGATTAATTAGATTAATATAACTAATAAAATAAAATAAAATAATTTATTTTGGATTTTAATCAAATTTAAATAAAAAAATGGTGAAAATGAAAATTTTAAAGTATTTTTGCTTAAATTGTACTTCAATCTTGGATTTGTAGAGAAAAAATAAAAAAGACAAAGAAATTAAAAAAAAAAGAAAAAGAAAAAAGAGAAGCTTTTACTTCATTCCTTGTTTTTCTTTTTTACAAATTATTTTTCTAATTTAAGATTCAAATACAACCTTAATAAGCTAGTCAAATTCCGTTGAATATTCAAAATTAGCTTCAAATATGAAAACATATATATATTTTAAAATAATTATAATGTTATTAAACATTTAAATTCAGTGAAATTTGAAACCTTATAAGCTACATATATATATACATATATATATATATATTATATACTTGAGCCTCCCATATTGCTTACGAGACCATACGAGGAGATTGAAAAGGAAAAAAAAAAAAATGTACATAGATTATAGCCCATTTTTAGTCTTCTTTTTTTAAGTTAAATGAACCATTGAGAATTTGATTGAAGATGGATAGAAATGGGTAATTGCAATTGGTGATCCATCACTGTTGATTTGAACAAGAATTTGGATTGTGATATTTCAAAGGGGTAGAAACTATGACTTCAACAAGCATCTTTTTGGGCTCAACAAACCTATTCCAAATCAAGACAATACTCAATTGGCTTTTATATAAGATTTGATGAATCTACTTTCTCACAATCCCCCTTTTTAAGATTTGGATGACATATATCATTTATACATAATCAATCATAAAATTCAATACAGAATATATATAAAGTCAAATTTTTTTAAAAAAGGAGACCACTAACAAATTTTATTCATTATTCTGAATATTATTATGTTTAATTTTAAGATTGTTTTTTATGTTTATAACACAACTGTATATGCACAGCTCTTGTGTACTATTTAGATTTAAATTTTATATATATATATATATATATATATTTTTGTAAGTACCTTTCGAGTCTTATTTCCTCATTCTCATAAAGTGTTTTTATATATCCTTTCACTCTCAATCAGGTGGACTGATGGACTAGGTCTCACCAAAAAGAAACCATCTCTGGTCCCACACTGTTCAGCAATAGATGGATTGGATCAACTGTTATTCATGATTTTTAAATTTTGTTGTTGTCATAAGATAAGATATTAGTAAGTTAGTAAACTAAATTATTTTTTTTTTAGATTCAAAAAATTACACTCATTAGTTTCTCATTTACTCTTGTAGAGAAGTAAACTAAATTATAATGGAAGAGTCTCAGTTACTCTATCAATTTGAATTTTAAATATCTGATTTTTACTGTCCCAAATAAACGTTATATGAATTGTTAGAACAACTGCTATATTCTCATAAAATTTTATCACGTCCTTTTGTTATTGTTATTGTCAATTTTTGAATGTCTTGAACAAATATGAGTTTTGATTACTTTTCAAAAAACAAAAAACTGAGATCAATTTGGAGAAGTCCTTAATTTTCCTTTTCCATATTATTGCTATGAAAAAAGAGAATATGAAAAGTAATACATAAAATTAGTTTGTCGAACTGTTTTCAAAAGTTATTTTTGCTAAACTAGTTCTCTAAAAACACACATTTTTCAAGAAACATTTTAAAGTTATTTTTTGAATTTTCAAAGTTTATTTTTACATAAGAAAATGATATAAGAACAATGGGTGTTTCTAAATTTCCTTTATTTTTTGTTTTATAAACACAAAAAACGAAGTTGTTTTTTTAAAATTTTATTTAGAACAATACAAAACAAGAATAGGGATAACGTACCAGAAGTCACTTTATGATTTATATATTGTTTATTATTATTATTATTATTATTTTTCCCAAGTAGACATTTGGGATGTTTGTTTGGCACGAACATATGACACTAGCTAGCTTAGTGTGCCCAAATCATTAAAGTTCTCATAGGCTGTAGACGTCATGTTAATGACAGATAGATCCTCCTCCAATTCTATCACGAAAACATAAATTAAATACAAATATATATACATATATATATATATATATAAATAAATAAGATTTACTAACTTACTAATCTCTTATCTTATGATAAAAACAAAATTTAAAAATCATGAATAACAGTTTATGTCTGATTTTATGACTAATTCTTGTGTTTTTAAACTTATTCTTTGTTTTTCCTAGATAGTATTGGGATAATCAAAGACCATGCACCTTGGAGAATAAATTCAATAGCAATGTGACAAAGTTTGGAATAGCATTTTTTTTAAGAATTGAATTGCAGGCTAAGCAAACTCAGAATCTTCTTCCCTTAATTAGTTTCTCTGCTTATAAGGCCGAACTTTTTGCCTCTCTTTTACTGTAGAATGTATAAATGTTGCATGAAATTATATACACAAAGTTTGTGTAGAATATTTTGTTTAAAATTTGAAATTCCATACTTCAACAATTGTCAGCGTGTTTCGTAAAATTTTTTGTGATTTAAGCTTATTTACTTTTTTGGCTCAAAAAAGTCCAAAAAAGTTGAAAATATAATTTTTGTTTGAATTTGAGCTTGAATTTTTTTTTTTTTAAAAATACAATTGAGTTTTGCCAAACAGCCTATAATCACATAGAATGACAATCGGGTAACCCCTTTTCATAAATCTCCCACAAAAATAAAAGTAAAATTCAATCCCATATAACAATTTAGGGTTCATTCTCTACCATTATGCCATGCTTAGATGTCAGGAATAAATAAGTAGACAAATTTCACATATATATATATATATATATATATTTTCATTTTGTTGTTTGCTTGTATTCAAAATATGAAATAAAATTCAGGGTCATTTTGTTGAGGTGGAATGATACCATGGTTACTAAAATGCCAATTCAGTCCTTTTTCATAATTTCCATATCCATATATAAAACTATGATATGAGGGAAGCTCTGATAAAGGGCACCAGATGGGCTAGCCCATCAGTACGTGGGCGGCCCTGTTAGAGTCCAGCTCACTGGCTCATCTTCCAAAGTGTACTGGGCGGCCCTGTTGAATGGCCTCATCAAATATGATATGACTATTGGTCTAGAAAAGGCTGGGTAATGTTTTTGGATCTGATGAACTGTTTTGGACCAGGTCTTGGATGTTGAAATTTTACCCATTTAAAAAAACAAAAAACAAAACACGAAATAAGATTGTGAAGTGAATGGTTGAATTCAAAATCTGAAAATTCAATTAGTTTATGAATTGAAAATAATTTTCAAAGTCCTCACTCCCAAATTTGTGTAACCAATTATGTTGTTTGTTGGGGTAATTTTGGTAACAAAAATAGCGTGAGCATTTTTGACTAACTTTATATAATATAATAGATATTAGAGCATCTCTAACGGTTCATCAAAAATTTCATTAAATTTGAGTAAAAAAAAGATGAATTCCTCAATCTGACATTAGCTACTCTAACGGTGATCATCAAAACACATTGGACGTCCGGATAGACGACCGTTCGGTCGACCGGAAAGAGAAAAATGAATTTTTTTTTCCCACACTCAGAAGCATCACCTACTTTGCAATTGCTATGAAAAACACACTGGACGTCTCTCGCTCTCTCTTTCTTCACAATTCACAATTTGCTCTACAATCGCTATGAAAAACTTGAAAACCCACCTCAACCAATGTTTTTGGTTCAGTGACCATTTTTTCTTCATGGGTTTTGTTAAAACTCAACCAATGGTTCATGGGTTGTGTTCTCAGATCAAAATTTGTGCTGCGAATTGTTATGAAAACTAGAAAACCCACCTCAATTTATCTATTTCTTGATCTGGGTTTGTGTTGAAACTCAAACTCAACCAATGTTTCTAGTTCAGTAACCATTTTTTTTCATGAGTTATGTTGAAACTCAACCAATGGTTCATGGGTTGCGTTCACAATCACAATTTGTGCTGTGAATTGTTGTGAAAACTAGAAGACCCACCTCAATTAACCAATTTCCTAATCTGGGTTTGTGTTGAAACTCAAACTCAACCAATGTTTCTGGGTCAGTGACTCAGTGACCAATTTTTCTTCATTTGTTGAAGAAGGAGCAAAATCTATACATTTTTATAACGTCAAAATGGATGCTCTGCAAGAGGCTTCAAAGAAGGTTGCTGCTACAAAGAAGCAAAGGTTTGGAACCACACAAGGCAACACTCTGGCCAATGGAGCCAATCAAGAAATGCATACAGATGAAGAAAATCAAACAATGCCATATCAATCTGCTGTTAGTAGAATGCAAACTAATTTAAGTGATTTCTATATTTGGTTAAAGAGGTGGTCGACCACGGGGTCAACTGGTGGGTCAACTAAGGGGTTGACCTTCTAGTGTAAAATTTTTACAAAATTTTGCTTGAGGTGGTCATCTGGAAGGACGTCTGGCCGGACGTCCGGTCAGTTATCCAGTGGTCTACATTCAACGGTTATACACAGTGAATTGTTGAAAGCTGGAAGACATCTTCAGTTTGGTGAAAATTTTAGGACGTTCTCAATTTGATACTGTTTTGGTGAAACTATTGGAGCACAAATAATATTTTTTTTTCGCTAAATTTGAATTTGATGACGAATTTAGTAAATAGTTGGAGATGGCCGTAGATAGCAAATTATAAAAATGATATTGTAGCTACAGATGGCGCATTTAGTGGCAAAGCTGGTGAAATCAATTGACAACAACATAGCAAAAACAAAGTACTTCACGTTAATACAAAAGCAGAAACATAAATATCAATATAGCAAGAACAAAATACTTCTTGTTAACATAAATACATAAACATAAATGCATGAACAATATTAGCAAATAAAGGGCTTGATTGTAATTAATAACATTCAAAAACATTGAAAACACAGAAGAAGAAGAAAAGGCCCAACCAAAGTAGAAGTCAATTCCCGAACCACCACCCTTGCTCACTGTTGAGGCCACTGCGCATTTTAGCCTTACCAGGGAGCAAGGGTCACATCTGGTGCGCTCTTGACTTCCCCACACCACACCATTTGCTCTCTCTCTCTCTCTCTCAAAGTCATTAAATTTCTCCACTGTGAACTCACTCACCTACTCCCCCAAACTTACTACCTACCTGCCTCACCTTCATTACATTACTACATTGCACCTTTCTCTTTATTTACCCAAAATAGAAAAAAACTACACTCACCCAATTTACCATTCTGCCCTCAGTTTTTTTTTTCCCTAACTACCCATAACATCCCAATCTCTTCCCACCAAAAAAGCCACCAAAAAAAAATAAAGGTAGAGGTGTTTCCCTTTTGACCACAGTGGCCTTAGACAAGGCGATAGGCATGAGATCATCTGTCCTACTCCTTGCATCATTGTTCATCCCGTCTCATACCGTTTTAGTGATTGATATGAGACAGAAGATAAAACAAAGAGTAGGATAGATGATCTGTGCTTGTGTTCCTATACTCTGCCAAAATATAATGGCCAGTGTTAAAGTGACCAAAATTCCCTTGTTGTAGGGCAAGGGATTCTCTCTTTACCGAGAACGGGATAGGGAGGTTTTGGGTAATTGGGATGCAAAACCCTAATCAGTTTGCTTGGGTGGTGCAGCTGCAGCAGTAGCTGGCTGCTCAGTAGAAGAACCTCCAATGCTTCCATTATCAGGACAACTCTCACCACCACCAACAAGAGCGGCGTTGATTTGTTGCACGGTGTTGCAGAGGTGGTTGTTGATGGCGGTAACGCTCGAGAGATTGAGCTTTGCAGATGGGATTGTACTAGCTAGGACTTGGAGCCCAACTGTGAGGAGGCAGCCAGAGTTGGGAAAGTTTCGGGTGTCGGAAACATCATCGCCATTGATGTTGGTGCAGTCATTGTTGTTGCCGGTGGATTGTCCCACGGGGACTATGACGAATCCCAATGGGAGAAGGGCAATGCAGGATGGATCGTCGCTGCTCATCGCTAACTGTATGTCATCAACATTGACAGTGGCGTAGACCACGAGGCTGCCGGAGTCATCGGTGCAGCTCTCCTGAAGCATGAGCTCTACATTCTGTGATGAGTTGCTTGCTACCTGCATGCATGCAAAAGAAAATGATTGGTGGTACTAATAATATTCCAGAAGCAGAACAGGATTTAAATTTTATTGATTAATAAAAAAAAAGCTGCTAAAGCTAAAGGAGAAAGTAAGCAAGTAATTAAAATGTTAATAGAGATGAAACTTACATTTATGCGAAGAAGAGAAATGCAATTTCCAGGATGAGAACCATTTGCAATGTGAGCCACCTCATGTAATGAATTCCCATTTGAAAGAACATCCAGCTGCACAACATCAACTCAATTAAAATCTTAGCACTTTTTAATTAATGAATGAATATTGGTAAATGGGATTATTACACAAAAAGGGTGGATTGATCAGAAGATTAATATTTACACAAACCTGAACTCTGCGGTGCTCATCCCTCAATAGATCGAAAACCTGGTAGTGAGGGTGTGGAAGCCAAGTGGTGGACACAGCACTCAGAATCAAGCCACTGGGTTGGCCTGGCTCTGTGGTTTTCCTGGTTGTTATTCTAACAGTGTCATCTGCAGAGTCAGAAAGGGCTGTCCATGACTGCCCACTGGAAGTGCTTATGTTCACACAGAAAGTCCTTATCATCCTCTGTGCTAGATTCATCAAGTTCTTCCTCGCTTCCGGTGATGGTATCACTGTTAAAATCATCGTATATACACGTTACAATTTTATTCAAGTACTCTCAAACACTAGGAAAAATTAAAATTAAAAAAACAGAAAAATGAGGTACCTCCGAGGTCAGAAATGTTTCTGGCCATGAGGCTGGCAAGCCGCTCGCATTGTCTTTGAAGGACAGCTAACCAGCGGTGAGCTCCAAAAGCAATGCCACTGTTAACAAACTGATCAAATATCTGGTGCACTGCTTTCTCCTCTACCTCTGCATGCTCTACCCAAGTCACCTGTTTCATCATTCAATATTTTTCTATTTAGAGTCTTTAGCACATGTATATTCGCATTTTGATAGTGAAAATCATTTGAGCAGCAAAGTAGTCCAATGCTATATCTATAAAGAAATATTTACTAAAGTACTCAGAATTTAGAATGTGTAGATTAAATTCATTTTAGATGTGACTTACACTAGATGAAATTTAAATATATATCTTCAATTCAAATTATGAACACTTTTCTAAATATTTTTCTCCCATGGATTTATCACAACTATTGCACTGTACAGAAGCATTGTCTATCTTCTTTGAGCTCTTTCCAATTGGTGATCTTAATTGGAGGGTATTTCCAGGTCCACCTTGATGAATGGTTTGGATCATCGGAATGGACCCTGGGATAGGCCCACGAGGGCCCAACAATACCTTTTAGGATCATCAGTGCTCCCTAACATTTTTTATGTATGAAAGTATGACATAGCAGGTGTTTGTGCCAATTACAACCAAAATATAACAATATAAATAAGAAATTGGAATATTAGCAGAGAAAATGAAGTCACCCTAGAGTATCCATTGGGCATGTCCTGGATGACACAGCCAGAGGGCCTTCTCTTGTATCTTGGGAGGGATGGTTGAAAACTTTCCTGTAAACTTTCCAATGGAAAATCAACAATTGCCCAAGTTCCCTCCTCCACATTCTGTTGGCAGTATCGAAGAAAATGAGCCTCTCTTGTGGGCACCAGGGGAGAAAGAGCCTGCATCTCTGCATACATCTACAACAAAAAAAATAAACAATAGAAAACATATTCACCAATCTACAAGATAAAAAATAAAAGGGGAACAAATTACATTGGTAGTCCTTTTAATTTGATTATTGTGTACTTATAATTCTAATAATATCAATTTTATGTTTAAAATGCTCACATTATGTTAATTTAGGCTAATTGATAATAGCTTTTTAAAATTGAACTAAAATTAAGAGACAAAATAATTTATTCACTTTTTGAAAGTGATTGAGAGGTTGCAGTTCAATTTAAAGTGGTCCATTCATTTGTGAATAGATCATATTGCCTTCAATTTTTGTTTAGTTTCTTAATTGAGATTTTCAATCAGATTAAATTGACACAATATAAAAAATTAAAAAATAAAATTAGTACAATTAAAACTAAAAATAACAAATTGACACAAAAAATAAACTAATGAACTATAATATAATTTGTCCAAATAATTGTAAGACCTTTTATTTTATTTATTTATTTATTTACTTTTTGGTTACATCGAAAGAAATTGTAAGACCTTTTTATATTCCTACATGAAAATGCATAGGGGACCAAAAATTATTTGGGCCTAGTTGTGTGTTCGTTTTTTGTTTTTCTGTTTCGGAAAACATAAAAATTTGTGTTGCAATTTGTCAGTAAAAACTAATTTTAAAAAAAAAATCTATAAAAAAACCCAATTTATAGAAAACACCGCCAAAATGTTTTCAAAATTTGAAAAGCCATTTTTGCAGAAAAATAAAAACGATGAATATTTTTTAATTTCTTCATTTATTTATTTTTTGGTGGAAATAGAAAAGAGGGAATGACAATTCAGAGGTAGTTTGAAAAAAATAAATAAATCAGATGAGTGGTAAAATGTATAAATCTTAATAATTAAAATATTAAATTTCTTCATGGAACAGTAATTATTTTAAGAAATACCAACTGGGGTATAATTCCTCCCCCCCCAAAATAAATAAATAAATAAATAAAGCCTAAAAAGAATCTAACTGTAAAATACTCACCAGATGAAGGGAACCACTTGCATGACCAGAAACGCCTGAAGTTACAATTTGAAGAGTTTTTGCTCTAGAAATGATGGAAGGGAACAGTTCCATCCATTTATTCTGAAACAATCAATTGAAACAAAATTAAAAATATTTTCCAAGTTAAATGGTGAATTGAGAATTCGACATATTTTTACTAAATACTGCCATAAGCGTTTAAATATCAGGCAAAATGCATCAAATTTTGAAAGACTAATATTGATATTCAATAATATGATAAATAATCAAAACGCGAATACTGTTATTTAAAACCATGACTGACGTGCAAAGTTGTTCGAAAGGGATTACTCACTGCATCTAGGAATGCATCAACCAGAGTGATACTATTCATGATCACAACAGCTGTATCGCGGGTAGCTTCCATCCTGAACTCGCTGCCATTCTGTTTAAGATTCATCGGCCACTGAAACATCCTCGTGTGCTCTTCAAAATTAAGCACTTCTCTTCCACTGTCGTTGTTTCGGATCCAAAGAGGTTCGCCTGCCTGACACATCTTCACCAGCACATCCATGGATGACATGGCGAGCTCGAGTGCTAGTGATTTGTCTTCTTCCATGATAAGACCACCACCGGGAAAGTGGGAATTTTCGGGCATCAAAGGTACAGGAATCATTTCAGACATTGGCTCCTGGAAATTCCTTGGATAGATACTCATGTCCAAATCCAAGGAAGGGGGAAGCAGAGGAACTGGTCCCATTGATTGGATTGGGCGGTCACTATATCTCGAAGCAAGACAGCATACACGTTCGAACTGTAAAAAACAACATCTCATAGACGTCACAAAAAGATTTCACAGAATGGGACATAGACAACATCTGTACACTTGAATTTATTCGTATACACCCCAGCTTAATTTCTTGTTGAATACATGGAAGATTAGGTTTTACAAGGATTTAAACTATGCCATTTTGTTTTCAACTAGATAAGTTCTTTCCATTTTGTTAATGTGCTTTCTTGCTCTTTTCTTTTTAGGTTTTTTTTTTTTTGGTTAGTGTCATTTCCTCGAAGAAAAGTACAAAATATATTTTTACATAATGAGAAAAAAATATAAAAACCACACAAGTAGGATCTCATAATGGGATAAATATATATGAGACAAAAAGTAAACTCTATACATAAATCTCATTTATGTGAGTTCTATCTCATATTGTATTCCTACGTAGCTGATTTTTTTGGGAAAAAGTCAAGTGGCTGTTGTGCCCTTATTTTTTTTGATCTGCAATTTTTTTTTTTTTTATTGATTTAGAAAACTCCAAATCTTACTTAATGATTTAAACTGTTTAATTTTTACAATCCATTGACTAGTATATCCTTTTAAAAAATCAAATTAATCGGGTGTCGGTAACCTTTTGATCAAAACACGTTTGTATCTAAAAAAAATGTAATTTTAAATGTTAACCATAATACAAATACGTTTTGTTCAAAAGGTAATCGATATCCAAGTAATTTAATTTTTTACAAGAATATACTATTCAACAAACTATAAAAAATAAACAATTTAAATTATTAAGTTAGAACCTAAAATGGGTCTCATCCAAAGAACAGTCACCCCATTCCCCCTTTTCCCACCTATCTAGTTTTCATGCGTAATTGATGAATGACCTAGTTGGTGTTGCTTCGAATGTAACAAAATAACTCTCCCAATAAAGGCACATTTCCAAAAAAAATTAAAAAAAAAGAAGAAGTCAAACTCAAGGTTTAATGTTTGACAAATACTAGAGAAGTAATATGGCTCTCCCAATTGCGTACATTTCCAATGGACACTTGGTATCCTTACATAAATGTAAATTTTATACATAATTGTCAATATTTTGTACCGTCTACTTTGTTTTTTAATCAATCAAGTTTTTTTTTGCCGATTAAAAAAAAAAAGAATGATGCGATTTATTTTTTATTTTTATTTTTTTATCGGCAAAAAAAATCTTCATTGATAAAAACATATATGCAATTTATTTTCTTTAATAGAAAATTAATAAATTCCCCATTGTTGCATATAATTTAAAAAATATGTATCACTTACAAATCATTTTCGATGAATCTTTTAAATAGATTTATAAATATTCCTTTTTTTTTTTGATCGACAAAAAATTGTTATTGATGAAAACATACAAAGTATGATTGAGAACATCAATAAAGAGGAGCTCGGAGCTAGCACAAGCTCGAAGCTCCAGATATAAATATTCCCTTTTGTCAAGGGAAAAAAATAAAAAATAAAAATTTAAATGATTTCTAAATCATTTTCAATATTGGCCTTAAGCATAAGATACTTTATTCTTAAATTTTTTGTTCCCAATGTACCTTCACCTGTATAATCGTCTCTCAAATTTTAAAATTTCAAAATTTTGGGATATTAACTCTACGGAATTGAAAAGTGTAGCTGCGATGGGTTATGCACTTGTTTTTGCTTTATTGTTGTCTATGTTTAGCGTTTAATATGTATATTGAATTTCATTAATAATTTTTTTGTTGATAAAATAAATAAATAAATGTAAATGAAATTGTATAGGGAATAAATTTTTTTTTTTTTGAACTCACCATAGTTTTTAGTACTTACAAAACGTGCATTTAGCAGGAAATTAAACAAAATTCAATACTACCTCTTCTTTGAGCCTGGCATTGTCGAGCCGAAGTTGCTGTTCATCGTAACCGATCTCGCCAAGCATCGCCGGACCTCCACAGTTAGGGCATATGATACATCGCAGCGCCGCTTGCAGCCGATAATTTTCATTCTTAAGGCTCTCATTCTCTGCTCTCAGTATCACATTATCTTGCCGGTCTTGTTGTGCCTGTATTAGATGATCAATTTAATTCACAACTAAACAAAAAAAGTACAAAAGACTTTAGTCTTATCCTGCGCACCATGGCGCATTACATCCTTGGCCCTCCACTGTACATAGATACCTGTGAATTGTTAACTTCACTAACCCTAACCCTAAATGGGAGTGCATTTAAGATGTGTGATCCCCCTTGTGGAAAGAGGTAGGGTTGACTGCGCACCCAACTGTGCATATTTATGGAATGCAGACTGTGGAAGCGACCCAGGAGTTAATGAGGTCTTCTTCATGCTACAGTGCGCGTGATGATGGCGTACGCTATCACTCATGAGTTATTTTTTAGGGCTTAAAACGTTACGTAAGATGGTAAAAACATGTACTTCTTGGGAACTGTGCGATGATTTTCTATGAGTTTCACAGCTGGCAAATTTTAGGGTTACCCATGAATTTTTTTTTGTAATAGGGTGCTAACGTGCTCACCTTCATCTGGGTTCGACGATTTTGGAACCAGAACTTGACTTGGCGGGGCTTGAGGCCTAGGTCTTGGCTGAGTCTTTGCCTTTGCTTGTCATCTGGGTGTGGACATTCCTTGAATAAACTGTGAAAACAAGCGTAACTTAGGTTAGCAAAATTGAGAGTCATATTACTTTGTGCACTAGTGCGTAAGCTAGCACTTAGCAGTCCATTTACCAATTTGGTGAGTTAAAAGATAGTAAAGATGGAGAGTCAGATAGAGAGATAAGAGAGGCATTAACTGCATAATTTAGCTTTTGTTAGAAATGGACAAGTATGTAATGAAGACTGTCGAAGCTTTTAAGAGAGAGATAGAGAGAAATTGACATGCTTCTTAATGAGTTTGTTGGAAAGTAACAAGATTACAATGAAGTGTCTTAATAGGGTTTTGGGAGAGATATAGAGAAGTAGACATGGTTCTTAATGAGTTTGTTGGGAAGTAAGTAAAAAAGATCACAATGAAGTATCTCAACAAGGTTTTAAGAGGGAGATATTTTACATATGTGCACAGAATTAGAACACAGAATTGCAGAGAGAGAATCATACGATTCCATTTCTTGGATCTGGCGAGCAGTGTGCCTGTGGTAGCGTTTCTTTTTTGGTTGTTGCTCAGTTTCTTGCTCGTTGCCGGAGACTCCTTCCATGTGTTCGCTTCCGGAGCCACTTTCCATCTCATCTTTCCCTCTCATTAGCCCTATTTCTTCTTTCTATAACAAAGCAAAATTGCAACCATTCAATATATAAACATAAGAGAGAGAGAGAGAGAGAGAGAGATGAGAGAGATGATTTTGAAGGGAAGCTTACAGGTATGATTGGAGGAAAAGTGTGGAAAGGCATGTTAGCCATGAAGTTGAAGTTAGGGTTTTGGATCGGCGAAGAAAAGAGGGATTCTGAAGAAACCCCATTTCCTCCCAAGGATGATAGTACTTGGCAATCTCCATACATTCTCTCCGGCCCTTCAAACATCTTACTTTAATTTCAACAAAAAAAAAAATAAAAATTAATTAAATAAATAAAAAAACAACATCAAATATATATACTATATTGTATCTAGGGTTAGTAGGTTACTTTCTTCACTCAAAGAATGCCAGCATTATATCATCACAAGAAAACAAAGCAACAAGCGGAAGAAATCAAGAAAAGCAAAGAACACAAATCTAAAAACACATGCAGGTCAGTAAAAACATTAAATTTACAGGTAAGATTGAAACAAGAAAGGGAAAGAACTAACTTTTAGCTTTGGACAGAGTGAAGATGCGTTGATTTGTGTCTATACGTACCTGCCTTACCTGAACTGAAGAAATTGACTTCGTCACCTGCTTCAAAGGTACAAAAGAAAAAACAATCAAGGTTTGTTGAGTTCCGAAACCGCCATGAAAGTTGAAGAAGATAACAAAAAGAAGAACCCAAAACGGAGAAGAGAGTAAATGAACAAATTTGAGGAGGTAGATAACAGAGAGAGGGGTTAGAGAGAGAAAGGGAGAGAGTAAATACCTCACTGTCGGTGTGTTTCGGAAACGTTGAGAGAAATTAAGACCCTTTTTAGCTCTCCGTTGCTCGTTGGGTTCACCAGACACATCCACCCAAGTCCACCCCCTCTCTCTCTCTCTCTCTACAGTGAGTAATTTTTGGAAAATTATTAAATATTTCTAAAATATCACGTGTCTGTACTCTCTAACTAATTATCATTCAATATGTCCTTTCATATTCACTAATCACCAAACACGATACTCCACATATCTATCTTTTTCACCAATTATAATATTATAGAATATCACGGGTCTATATTCTGGAATTACTAAATAATTACCCGTAATTTTTTCTCTCTGTAATATTACATACATTGACTCTCTATTTTTTCTTAAACAGCATTACTATTTAAATTAAAAAATTAGCTTTACTCTATTAAAATATCTAAATTAATTCTCTCTCTTATTTATTCTCTAATCATCAACTAATTATTTTATTGACATATCAAGTCTAAAAAAAGGTGTGGGCTTGTATATATATATATATATATATATTGGTATTAAACAGGACATAAACCTAGAAAACAAAACTACAAAGGATATACGAACGAAGCCAACTCCAAGCACATCATGAAATGAGCTTGTATATCATTTTTCCAATAATAATAACTAGCGATTGACATATGCGATGTGTGTGAAGTTTAAGTAAATAAAAATAAAAATCAATAATAAAATATTAATATTACAATATGTGTCGCCCAAATTGTAAGAATTTTTTCCCCTATATTTACGGTTAATATTTATATATATTGATTGTTTTAGATAAATAAATGGGAGACAATACAAACAAGCAAAACTTGAATACTATAATGAGTAAGCCGTGATATAAAGAGAAATAAATAAAAAAAATCAATTCTAAATTCTGGTGTTTGAGATGAGTTAAATTATTTGAAATAATTAATAAGGACAAAAAAAAATTAAATAGTCAATGAAAAAAATGTCACATCAATCAATAATTTTTTCTTTCATAATTATCTATTTTATTATAAAAAAATTCACAAATTATTTCATACGTAACTTTTTTTCATCTCATAAAATAATCAAAAAATCAAAAAATCAACTAAAAAAGTCAACATATCAAATCAGGGCTAAATGTAATACTCTCTCTATTTCAATTTATTTGTCCATTATAAAATATTCAACTTATTAAGGAGGTATGCAATTATTACAATTTAATTTAAATTTTGAAACATTTTTTTCACCAATACCCTTCTATTTGAATTTTAAAATGTATTTATAATAATTTGTATGGAATAATTTTAAAAATCTAACAAAATTTAATATCTCAAAATAAAAAGTAAATAAATATTTTTGAAAAAGATTAAAATAAAAAAGTGAACTAATGAAATAGGACGGAGGGAATAGTACAAGATAATTTTTAAAAAAAAAATTAAATTGAGGGAAGGGGAGTTAAATAGGAGCTTTAACTGCGGTGGGGAAAAAGAAACTGATGAAGATCAACGCCTCTTAATCCGTCGACTGTTTTGGAACACGTGGCGGGATATTAACGGAAGAGAGAGAGAGAAGGAGAGAAAGAGAGAAAGCGTTACACACTCTCAAAAGTCAAACCACTCTCTTCTCCTCTCTTAGACGCATGCCTCATTTGCATGTTTAGCGCGTGTTGCTATAATACCCTTGTAATATTATTACTTACAAATAAATAATAAATAATAAATAATTATTTTTTCACAGTTTAAGATTGTGTTTGGAGGAGTTTTGAAAATATGATTTTAGAACTATTTTCAATATTTTGTTTGGTTAAAGTTTTTAAAATTAATTCTTATATAACATTTTAAAACTCATTTCAGCTTTTATTTGGAAAAGTGAATTTTTTTTGAATTTTGAATTTTAAAAAGCGCGACTTGGGGGTATCCAGTCGTTCTCCCGAATATTCGGCCAGTTGACTGGAACAGTATTTTTTTTTTTGGCAATTGACACCTGCTATTTTAAATTTAATTAAATAAAAAAAACTTCTCAAAAAACAGCATAGAGAGAGAGAGTTTGACGTCGTCGACTTTAGAGCCAGCTCGGGAGATGGCGGCTGGCGGCTTCTTCCGCGACTTGGACGTTGTCAGCACCGTTGGATTCATCATCAGCTGCTCCGATCCCGACGTAGCATCGCCGTTGCATCTATCGTGATTGTTCACCATTAGAGAGAGAGAGAGTTTGAGTAGTTATAATAGAGAATATTAAATAAACAAATAAAAAAAAACAGCAGTTGCAATTTATAATAAAAAATATTTAAAAATAATAATTCTAATCAAATATACAATCAAAAGTTACTTTAAAGCAGTAATTGAATATTTATTTTGAAAAAAAAAATATTTTGTTTGTAATATTTTCAATTAAAAAATTCTTATGTTATTTTTTTAATAATTATTTTTTAAATTGAATTTTAAAAAGAGTTTGACTATGAGTTTTGAATAGAATTTTGAATTGTGTGTGTGATTATGAGTTATAACTTTTTGAATTAAGTTTTGAAAAATCTTTTCAAAACTCATAACCAAACAAATTATCTTATTTCATATGTCACATCAAACATTCAATACTCAACTCAAAACTCAATTCAAACTCTTTTCAAAACTCATAACCAAACAAATTTTCTATACTCAACTCATAATTTCAACACTCATAAACTCAAAATATGACTTTATTACCAAATCATATTTCTACAACTCTACCAAACGCTACCTAATTTTTTTTAGTTCATATATTTAATGAAAATTTGTATTAACACAATTAGTCTTAAAATAAAAATATCATAATACCTTTATTTTTCTATTTAAATCTTAATTCTAAAACACCATAACCATCTTCTATCTCCAGCGTCACCTTTATCATTTGCTATGCCCTCTTGTCGCCTCTTTCTCTCTCTGTGTACGATTACTTTTCGTCATACACTCCTACAAGTCTTCCTCCGTGAATTACTCAAGATTGACTGTGGAGGTCTAGGATGAAAGGAGATGAGGTTGAAGTGGCAGTGGTGGTGGCAATGACGATGAAGGGTTGAAAGTGGCGACAATTGCAATAAATAAGGAGTGGGTGAATAGCCAAAAATATTAGACTATGTTGGGTCTAATTTTAGAATATGTTTTAAAAAATAAATAAAAAAAACTTCTTATTTCAATATGATTTTATCTTTATTGGGGCAAAAAAAAATTAAAAATATTATTTAATATTTATTTTTGTCAAATTAATTTATATTTTTCTTGAAAAATTTTAAAAAATTGATTCAAAAATTAAAACCAAACATAGCCTTGGGGCTTTAAGATTAAAAATGAGGGTAATATTGGAATATAGAGATATGTACTGAAAATTTATATTTTTATAGTGTGTATATTGAGAATGTGTTCATCAAGTGTGTGTACTAAGATGAATTAGTGTGTGGAAATAAAATTACCCATAAATAAAGAGACTTGTTAACAAGTGTCCCTAGAGCACAAGTAAATAACAAAAGAGTAATGTTAGGGATCCCAAATTAATGTTTCATCAACATTTTTACCAAGAAAAAATGCTTAAGACCCCTATTTTTTGGAGACCCCCACAATCCTCTTTAAATCTCCACCATTGATGTATGTGTGAGACCCACTCATGTGTGTGTAGGGCCCACACCATCAATGGTAGAGATTCAAAGGGGTTGTGGGGGTCTCCAAAAAATGGGGGTCTCAATCATTGTTAATATCTCACATAGGTGTAGGATCTACATGGAACTCATATGGTATGGGTCTCACACTCATGTAAGACATTTGGTAGAAATGTTGATAAAACATTTGAGGTCCCTAACATTTTCCATAGCAAAAAATTTGAAGAACACAATATAATCTTTTCTAAATTCAATATGTTTTTACTGAAATCAATATACTTTTTAATATTTTCACATATTCTCAAAATACTTTTGATATATTTCTCAACATCAAAGAGTGCATAGGGACACTTGTTAGCATTTGCCATAAAAAAATATAAAAATGCTTGGTCCATCGAAATAAAGGGAACCTGACTCTGCCAGAATGACATGGCCAGACGACCGGCCGAATGACTAGCGTCACCCTTGTTAATCGCGGTTGTCACCCTTCTCAATCGCAGCTTTTATCCTTGTTAACCGGTGTGTCAACCGGTATCCGCCTGGATGACGATCAGACGACCTTTCGGATGACCTGCTGAATGACTGGTATGTACAAATTTAGACAATTCGAGTGAGACCAAATTCGATGGATGTAGTATTACTAAAATAAATAAAGATATATTCACATATTGATTTGATTCGATTTTATAATTTTAAAAATTTTATATAACAATAAATACGATATATATTTTATATTATTAAACAAATTAACAATGATTAGTTTGGTTAAATTGATTAGAGTTTGTTAATTTTGCAATTAACACTATGTTCAAATCTTATAAGTAAAATGTATATTTTTATTTTTACATATAAAATAATAAATAATAAATAAATATGTCACGGTTTAATTTGAAATGATAACCAAACTCTTAGAACCAAGAACTGAACAACTAATAAAAATTACATCAAACAATCGATTTGGATCAATTTATCAGTTTCAACGTTTTGTTTTGTTTTGTTTTGTTTTCAATGCGTTGCAGGAGAGATTGATATTCTGTAGCATTGGGATGAACTGTTGGATCAATCCAACGGTCTGAAGGTGCAGATTGCGACAGTCTGATCCGTTCTTCTCTTGGCATAACAGGATAAGTTCGTCGATTTGGTTGAGACCTGCTAGAACCTCCATACTGTCCTGATCCTCCTCTGTAGGCCATTCTGTAAAAGAACAAAGAGCAAACACAAGTCTTGATAAAGCATCAGCTAAAGCATTATCAGAACCATTGATATGTTCTAATGTTACTTCGATGCCTAAGCCTGTAATATAATCTGTAAACGAAATCCATCTTGATCT